ATATATGTATATATATGATGATTCTCTGTAAAACTGGACAACTTGAAGGTAGAATACTTAGCATGGACACGCATAAGTTGACTAAAGAACCAAACTATCAATATGAGTGTCTATATTACCTAAACTGTATTCCAACAGATCACTTTGTAACCATGTGCGATAGGCTGCTGAACTTTTGTTGAAATCGCTGTACATGTTACTTTTTAATTCAACAACTACATAAATGTGATGAATAATCAAGTGCACTTAAAGGAAATAAACCCTTTGTGATAGTGATAATGCAATAGTAATGTAAATGTAATAGTTAAGAGCGAATGTCTGTAAGGATCAAACAATGGTGGCACCGGTCAAAAAATCGATTTGGCTCATTTTTTGCACAGTGATAGTACTTGGTACATAACCCCTCAGAATAGCTTTCTTTTTGCTCAGAACCCCTTGTTGCCATGGCAACGGGCCAAAGAAGTTTTCAGGGCATTTGTCCAGATTTTGGCATGTACAAAACATAGAAATTGGCTAACTTTAGGGCACTATAACTGATCAGTGCTTTAGCGTAACGACAAGAGCAAGATGTGCTGATCAGAGCAATGCCTAAACTTGTATAAAATAGCAGTAAAGCCAATGTTCAGTAAAATCTGAGGTCTTGGGCACTCTGAATACAATGCACTGTTTTAAGGGTGTAAAAAAACTGAAATTTTGCCCAACTTTGAAGCACTGTAAGTCCCAGAAGGGGAGGATGTTTTGTTTCAAATTTGCACAGCATAATAAACCACTCCAGAGGTATCAGATGCATGCTTGCAAAGTTTGGGTTCTTGTTTCGTTGCTACGCACTTGTCCTTTAAAGTAGGTCAGTTTTCGTTATTTTGATGATATGTCATTTTGTGCTTTTTTTGAACTAACATAAGCTCCAAACCAAACTAGTTCTTTACTTGAAATTTACATGAAGTATATAACAACAAATTGTCTATGAAATGCATGCTTGCAAAGTTGGAATTCTTGTTTCGTTGCTACGCACTTGTCCTTTAAAGTAGGTCAGTTTTGGTTATTTTGATGATATGTCATTTTGTGCTATCTTTGAACTAACATAAGCTCCAAACCAAACTAGTTCTTTACTTGAAATTTACATGAAGTATAAAACAACAAATTGTCTATAAAATGCATGCTTGCAAAGTTTGGGTTCTTGTTTTGCTGCTACACGCTTGCTACTTAAAGTGGGACAATTTTCATTAGTTTGATAGTACGTCATTTTGTGCTATCTCTGAACCACCATGAGTTCCAAACCAACATTGGTTTGTACTTGCAATTTACGTGAAATATAGAACAATATATTGTCAATGAAGTGCAAGTTTGAGGTCTTGTTTTGTTGCAGTGAAACTGGCCTTGAAACTGGGTATTTTTTTCAATATGTCATTATGTACTATCAATTTAAAAGTATCATAAGTTGCAAACCAATATTGCCTGCATTTGAAATACAAAATTTAATGCTATGTTGCCCCTTCCTTAGGGGCAACATAGCATGCCATCCAGTTCCTAGACTATAGTGAATCTCCCCTTGGCTCCATGGTCAGGGCAAGAAACTTGAGAAGTCCTTATCTCTTTCATCTAGAGTTCACGTTAGCTTGATAAAGATGAGATATAAACCTATGTGACATGTCAAAGAGAAGTGACTTATACGAACTTGGGATTGCATTGCTAAAACTGATTTGTGAACACTTTGATGTAGATGTAACGTCCATAAGTGATCGCCGTCGGAAAGCGGCCTTTGTAGCAAAACTGAAAGAGTACTTAAGTTCCTGTCCTTGCTCAAAATGAGTACAGTCTACATGTACAGGAATAGCGGAGTTGACTGAAATGCATGTTTTCCACATAGACATAGTTATACAAAGACATAGAGTGATAGACTACATATTAGAAAGATGCGCAGGGATTTATCATATTTATTCAAATATAGAAACAAGTCAAGTCTTCGAGAGTCACTAATATGGGGACGCTAAATATGACTGTATAGGACTGTTATCATCAAATTAAGATAAAGTGGCATACGTTCAATAACAGCCACATTGCTACAACTATATCAATGACATGCAAACGTTGGTGCTAACTATTTCATAAACAACCCAAGGCATAGATCTGTCAAAATTAGAGATAGAAGAATTAAAACCTTTCCTTTTTCATATTAGACTCCCAAGGATAGCCAATATTTTGACATTAGTGGACAAGTGAAGAATATGGCCTACTTTCAGGGACAGGTACAGCCACTAGAACACAGGAATCTGACCTACGCAAACATGCATTTCAAAGACAATATATAGGTTTACATTCGGTGTAAATTTAAATAGCAAAACAATTTACTGTTGAGACTTATGAGAGTCAAAAGATAGGACAAGATGACATGAAAATATGCAAATTGCCCCTTTTTCAGGGACAAGTGCGTAGCAGCAAAACAAGAACCCAGACTTTGCAAGTACGCA